ATAAAAATATAAAAATAGTTTAGTAGAGTAACAGCTAGAATAACTGGCATTTTCCCCCTTGCTGCAGAAACCTCCATTCATTTCTGTGGTAGTCGAGTCCCAGGGCACAGCCCTCGATCCTCGAGGTGAGGCCCTGTGAGCTGCAGCTGACCCTGGAGCTGCCACCATCCACTGGCACCGTTCCCGGTCACTGCAAGCACTGCAGCGACCTGCTCCTCTGCAATCTCGTTTTGCCAGCTGTTCCAGCTCCAATAGCCGCTCCTGTGCTCCTCACAGCCATCTTCTGTTCCTCACCGCTGCGATGCGAGTGACAGCCTCCGTGTCACTGACCTTGTTATGAATAATGGTTATTTGAAATGCCCTGCCCTGTTTCACTGCTTGAATGCAAGAGTAAATGCAGTAGATAAAGCAGCGAGGAGGGTTGCACAGGTGCAGTTTGCTGGGGTTGTTCCTCACCTTTCCAGGGGGCTTCATTAGGCTCTCGTTTCCTTTGCAGACATGTGCGCAACGGGGCGGTGATTGCACGCTGCAGCCAGCCTGAAATCAGTTGGTGGGGCTGGCGAAATGCTGACGGTGAGTATCCTATTGCCAAAGCCTGTGCCTTGAACCCTGGAGTAAAGGTATCTGGTGGCATGCTGCACAACGGGAGCAGCGACGGCAGCGAGGCCTGCGATGCCGACTTCGGTGAGACAGCTCGCTCCCTTTCGCTCTCTCCTAGACGCGTGAATTATTTAGTTCTTCCTACACCTAAACATTGCTGTTGCTACTAACGGGGCTGTTACAATGCACGGTTTAAACCTGATATCCAGGTGGGTAATCTGGGCCCTGTCATGCCTTGACTGCGGTATGTGGGACGGGTCTCTGGGCTCGTTCACGGCCAGTGTTGGGTGGCACTGGAGGCCTGTCGTAGGAGAGAGGGAGGTGCCCGGCACTCCGCCCATGCTGTCTCTGCAGACTCATCCCTGACTGCATGTTCAGGCGTGGAGAACGCAGGAACTCCTCAGAAGCTCCTGATTCTTGATGCCAGGTCCTACACTGCGGCTGTGGCCAACAGAGCGAAGGGAGGCGGCTGCGAATGTGAAGGTACAGAGGGCGAAGCACATCCCAGAACATCTTCCTCTTGGAACCTGCTTTGTTAAGTGGGTCCTAGAGCGCAGCTGGGGTTCGGGTCAGCATTTTGGTACTCAGCCTCTGGGAGCACGTTCCCCTTCTCGCTCGTGCAGAGTCCATTATTCCAGATACATTGCTGCTGTCCCGCAAGGCTTTTGTAGAAAAACTGCCTACCTGGAGACCAGAAAAGGTGCTGCGAGGGGACAGCTAAACTGGGTGTACGGAGGCAGTTGCTGCAGTGGCAGCAGCTCTCTCTGAATGTTTCTGTCTCTGTCGTGTTCAGAATATTACCCAAACTGTGAAGTCGTGTTCATGGGCATGGCCAACATCCACTCCATCCGGAACAGTTTCCAGTATCTGCGTGCTGTCTGCAGTCAGGTGCCAGACCCCAGCAAGTAAGTGACTGCTCTCTAGCTGAGTTTGACGCCATCTCTGTCAATGTCCTGGGGTTTTTTCCTTCCCTTTTCCTTTTTCCAATTCCAGGTTTCTACCTCAGAAAATGGAGGGATAGGAAAGTGCTCACAGTGCTTGAATGCTGCTTATTTTGATCCCTGGTAATCCAGAAGGGATTGCAGCACTGCCTCAGTGTCACTTGGTTCTCTGTGTCCTCTGAGGGTTTCTAAAATGTAGCTCTATCTGGGAAAAATTGAAATTAGGGGTTGGATTTTTTTGCACTTAATTCCCAGGCTGGCTGGCTACGCTTCTCCTGAACATGTTTTAGAAAAGGCTGATTTTCATTGAGGACTCACAAAAAGTCTTAGCTTAAAATATATATTTCTTTCCCACCCCCCCACCCCCACCCTTCACTGGAGAGCTAAGCAACCCTTTTCTTGCTTTTTGCACACTTTCTAGCTGGCTTTCAGCCCTGGAGAGTACCAAGTGGCTGCAGCACCTTTCTGTCATGCTGAAGGCAGCCGTGCTGGTCTCCAGTGCGGTTGACAGAGAAGGGCGTCCAGTGCTGGTTCATTGCTCAGATGGCTGGGATAGAACTCCGCAGATAGTAGCACTGGCAAAGATTCTTCTGGACCCTTACTACAGGACCATGGAGGTACGAGTTGTGCTATGCTGCTATTTCTTGTCTGTTAAAAGGCAGCAGTCTCTGAGTCTCCGGAGAGAGGACCAGGATCAAATTTGGCAGTAAGCTTAATGGCATTTCAGAGCTACTATTGTGGGTGTTGGGTTTTTCCATGTTCTCTGCCTGCCTGTTTTTGGTGAACTGTACCTCACTCCTCTGCCCAGCTTGGTGAAGTATTGTGGTAAATAACCTCTTGTGTTCAAAGTTCAGTTGCTTCCCTACTCTTAATTGTGCATATTCTCCAAGCTGTTTATTGTATAGAAATAACAGCTGTTAGTTTGTGTTTGGAAACCTCTGACATTCAGGTAGCTTTGCTCCCGAACCAAGCAGCCTCCTTTCCAGCCCTTCAGATGGGGCTTGCCTTGTCCTGCTATGTGCCTACCACAAAGTGTCTGCAGTTAGTTTGTTTTTTCCTTTTATTCGCAGGGCTTCCAGGTGCTTGTTGAATCAGATTGGCTAGATTTTGGTCACAAGTTTGGTGATCGCTGTGGTCACCAGGAGAAGGTGGAAGATCAGAACGAGCAGTGCCCAGTTTTTCTCCAGTGGCTGGATGCTGTTCATCAGCTTCTGAAGCAATTTCCTTGCCTCTTTGAATTTAACGAAGCTTTTTTGGTAAGAAGTATGCATGCAAACATCTCTCTATCCCTTGCCAGATGTGAGCAGAGGCAGAGGGAAGAGCATGATATTTTACAGTGTTGTGGTTGAAAGAAAACAAACATCGAATTCTTTAAAAATGGCAAAGTGTCTGGGTAGTGCTTGGGCTCTCTGCTTTCCTGACATGCGTTTGTTGTGTGGGTCCAGCCCTGCCCTTCAGTTTCGGTATTTTGACCTGGTTCTGTGTGTGTGATGCTTCTGCCGGCCTCTGTTTAGCTGCTTGCAATTTCCTTCTCCTCCCAGTGGGTACTGCAGGCTTGGAATACCTGGCAGATTGCACAGTGATGAAGGGTATATATTCTCCGGTTTCTTTGAATCACTTCTTCTCCAGGTCCCTTTCTAGCCCGGTGAATTCAGATACCATCAGCAGCACTGTTTTGATTAAAAGCCTGATTTCCATATCTCAGAGCAATATGAGCCTGAAACATTTAAAAAAAAAAAAAATTAGGGAAATGATAGCTATTAATCTCTATCTTATCAAATAATACAGGTTAGGGTTATAGAGGGATGGGTATGGTATCAGTTGACTGTTGCTCTCCCCTCTCTGTCCTGCCCTGTGTGGCAGACAGGACAGCAGTAGGGTCACTGGCTGGGTAGGAAGTGCGTGAGTCATCCCAGAGGAGTGGAAGGTGTTTCCCCTGTAGACAGGAGACACTGTTTCCCAATGGCCCTGACAATTGTTCCCCTTCTGACACTGCAGGTGAAGCTGGTGCAGCACACGTATTCCTGCCTCTATGGGACCTTCCTTGGGAATAGCCCCTGCGAGCGAGAGATGCACAACATCTACAAGCGTACCTGCTCCGTGTGGTCCCTCCTGCGGGCTGGCAATAAGAACTTCCACAATCTTCTCTATATGCCAGGGTCCGAGCAGGTCAGTAGAGCTCCTGGCCCAGCTTTCCAGCCTCTCCGCCTGCCAGGCACCAGGGACTGTGTGGGGAGAGGTTGGAGAGGTTTCCTCTTGCATTCATCTCTGATCGTAAGTGGTTGTTGCAGGTACTGCATCCAGTGTGCCACGTGCGAGCGCTGCACGTCTGGACAGCAGTGTATCTCCCAGCTTCCTCACCGCATCCTCTGGGACAGGATGATATGGACATTTACCTGCCCCCTGGATCTCAGAGCCAGGAGTTCAGTGGCAGATGTTTGGACAGGTAAGAGCCTAGATCCTCAGTTCCAGGTTGCCTCCTGCCCACCAGGCCTTCTTTCTCTCCTTGCTCATTGTAGTTCCTCTGTTTTATCTGCTGTTCTCATCTTTCCTGTGGAGAGCAAGAGCTCTGTAGCATTGTCCCAGCCACCTGGAGAAAAATGTGTACAGCTCCCTGCTGCACCTAAAAAGGCAGACTGCGGAGGCCACGCTATAGTGTCGTGCATTTCAGCTCATGCTGCTGCACCACCCCTCCCCACCCATGCCATGATCTGTAATTAGGAACATCTCCCTTCCCTCATCTCAGTTTTGACTGAAACGAGCGAAGTTTCAGGAGTTTTGTTGTGAAATTCGCTTTGCTTTTGGATTCTAGATTACCAAAGACAAGATCTATGGATGATCTGCTCTCAGCCTGCGACTCCAGCAGCCCGCTGACCCGCACGTCTAGTGATCCAAACCTGAATAACCACTGTCAGGAAGTCCGGGTGGGCCTGGAAGCCCGGCATGCCACCACTGAGGGAGCCGAGCTGCACTTGGGCGAAGGCAGCGTGGTGGCTGCAGGAGAGACACGGCAGGTGGAGGAGCAAGAGGAGAATGCTCCCCTGCAAGCCAACAGTGCTTGTAGCAGCCATGCTGAGCACGAAGGGCATGGCAAGCAACTGAGCAGCTGGACTTCTGTGCCAGCAAGCAGTGTCTCTCTGAAGGCAGAAGAGGGAAACAGAACACACATGGAGGAACTGGATGGCACGTGTCCAGCTCCAAATCCTTCCGGACAGGAAAATGTTGACAGGGTTTCCACCAGTTCCGGAAAGCAGTTAGAAACTGGTCCCCAGGAACTTTTGAAGGCTACTGGCATGGTGTCCAATGGAGGAGGCTGCCCCAAGAGAAACACCACCTGCCAAGACATTCCCAGCCAGGAGTCCCTGGCACCAAGCACCCCTTGTCAGGACATCCCAGGCCCTGCCCCGGGCATCCCCTGCCCAGATGAAGACATCGGCAAAGGTGATGCTGGAAGGAGCGTGCCCTGCGAGGACCCTGGCCGGCTGGGGAGAGTCCCGCTAGAGCAATGGCGCAAGCCCATTTCCCAGAGCCAAAGCAGCGAGTTCTCCTTCCTGGGCTCCAACTGGGACAGTTTTCAAGGAATGGTGACATCGCTCCCCAATGGGGAGCCTGCACCCAGACACCTCCTCTCCTATGGCTGCTGCAGCAAGAGGTTGAGCAGCAAACCTCTGCGGGCACCAG